TTTGGTTTGGTTTATTTAATTATGGCAAAGCACACTAGGGCTATTTGCCTAAGGGGAGGGACGCCTTCGTGGAGGACTTTCTAAGGGAAACTGGCTTTGTGCATTTTGAGTTATAAAATAAGTGAGATGTACCCCTGTTAATTTTTTTCAATTTTTAATGAAGATATTTTGAGGTTTATTGCATTTTTGCCTTGTCGCAAACTGAGAACAGAACCAACTGAATGAGAAATATACCTCTAATGAAATTCGAGGAAATAAGTGTTTCGTATTAGGAGCAAATATTGTCACCATTCTGTGTTGGATAGAGGAAAATGTTTACGAGTAGCGCATGCGCATTCGGTAAGCGGGGCTGAAATCGTCTGTGAAAATATGTTTAATTTTTATTTGCTTAATTTCTTTTATACGTCGTTTTAGATTTATTATTGCCTTTGAATAGAACATTTGGTAATTCTTCAGATGATATAATTTTTGTGCACTCTGAGTTATAATATGAATGATATATAATGCTCTTGAGTGAACCTAGCGCAAAAGCGTCACTATGGTAAATAAATACAGTGAACTTTAAAGCAGTGCATTTATTCTATTGTGGTTTATGCGCTATCGACGAATAGACTTATTCAAAAATTTGTTAATTGTTAATACAATACGTTTAAATGAAATGCAGGAAAATTGCGCATAATTTAATATTCCGTACAAGGAAGTCATGTGGTGTACACATCAGATTTTTTATTTTGATTTTAAAACTTGTGAGGTTTTATTTATTTAGTTTGACTAATAGTTAATTTTTAGTTAAAGTAACTTTCTTGTTGCTCTCCTTTTCACCCACGCTTTTCTGCCAGAATGTCAATCAGTTAGCGTGGGTATAATTAAATTAAGAGAGAAAGAAGCACTATTTAAAGTAAGTTTTCGGAAGTTTATTTTAGAGCGTGTTATGCCTGCTTGAAGACCACGTTGTTACCTTGACTTAATAGCGATTTAATTCTGTAGCGTTGAGTGCTTCTAGCCATTAGGCTTGTTTCGTCGGCTTCTACGTTTCAGAGCCTTCCTGCGCGTTTAAATTATCTTGTCAGTCTTTAAGCTAATTGAATTGCATTTTATTTTAAGCTCAACATTGCTTGTTTAAGTTAAGCCAGAAGTGTTGTGTAACCCAAGTGGGGTTATTTGTGAACTCTGTGTGACCGAATAAACGGTCACTTACACCCTTCTTCTCACTCTGTCTGCATCATAAGACCAGAGGATAATTTCTCTACAGTCTTTCTAGAGCTCATTAGTTTATGTTACCAAAGATTATGAGACTCTATACACTCATAGCAGCGACTTTTAAATACCCTTTTTTTTAAAAACTGGGACTTTTTATAAAACCGGAAGGCTTTCAGAAATATGAGCAAAATTTCTGCATGTGATGAAAATGCAATTAGAGTTCCGAATATGTACGGTTCGTTCTGAATTCCAAAACTCGACTTAATCATAACTATTGTATCTAAACTAAAACTCTTTTTTTCCGAGTATTTATCTCCCGCGGCCTTACGAAAGCATTCATTTTATACTATATTTTTTTCTTTCCACAGCTGCCATTAATGTAAGCGCCTCTTTAAGAGCAGCAAGTCTCCTCATGAGTGATAAAGCTAAGAAGGGATGTGACCTAGTCATCTGTCATATTCTATTTTATACGTTCTCTCAAGAAAATATAGGGAAAGGCAGAATACAAAAATAGCATTGGAAATATAATAAAAAGAAAAGCTGAAACAACCTGATTTTTGCATAAACGTCATGCGTAATGATTCTCATATGAATCTAAATATTCGGAAAAGACTTTAACGAACAATTGAATAGGTTAAAGATATTAAAATTTTCAGATTGGTTAAACTTTAACTGGAGCACCTATTAAAATATCGAGGTTCCAAATTTAATGTCGTAGACGAAATGGCATGACAGTTAGATGAAAGATTCATTTGCAATATGACGATGACATAATTATTATATATACATAAGCAAGTTCTCGTTGCTAGGCAAAAATACGATATCAAGTTTAAGGTCTGTAACAAAATTCCAATTATTCAGCATATGAATGATGCATAAACAAGGCGAATAAAAAGTCAACGCGAAGTAAATAGGACATCATTTTTGGTCATATCGATAGTATTCATGTTAGTCTCTAACCCAACTCAAGATAACTCTAGAGAACACAAACTACTGTAGGAAAGTTTGAGATCTTTGTACGAAGTAGGAGTTAGAAATAATCTTTGAACTCACCCAACGCTATCTGACACTTGTGATACAGGTTTTAAATCTAAGGAAAAAATATTTGATTGATCTGACAATTTTCTTTTGTGACCTGTTACAACTGCCTCGTTCCCTAATGTGACTAGCGTAGTTCAGCGCTGATGCAATTTGGTTGAATTTCTTGATAAATCATGGTTGTTTGATACTGCAGATTTCTTGCGATTAAGATACTTAAAATTCATCGAGCCAAGATTAAATCTCTGTCGAATTTCGAGGATATACATATAAGACTCTGCGATTCTCGGATTCCGTGATCGGACTATTCTGTATCAAAATTAAAATGGAATTATACAAAATCATATTTCTCTTCATTAATGCTTAAATCTGTGGACAACGACAGGTGCATTCACTAACCTTTCTGTGATCTTCAGGAAGCCTTTCATGGTTTAGACATGGAATTAACAACAACAGCTTTACAACAAAATCTTAAAACAATGGTGATATTGGATTGGAATTTGGGCTTAGTAAGTCAGCGAAAGTCTGACTAAACAGAATTAGGGTAATGATTTGATAGAAAGGGAAAAACGTAAATTGGATGAAACATAAAACGTAAATGGTAGCAGGATAGATCATAAACTTTCCAGAAAGTTTCGAGGTATAGGATTTCATTAATAATTTTTGAAATATCTGAAGTCAAAACTGCATTATAGTTTTTGCTTTTGAATTTATAATTACATTTGCTAACCAGGAAATTTCAGGTAATATTATTACGGCATTGCATGAGAAAAAGTTTTTCATTTTATGTAGAGAATATTTTAAAGCACTATGTTGTTCATCAAAACATTCATGTCGTCATTCATGTCGTCTTTAATGTATATTTGTTGTAACACGCCTCAGTTAACAAAAGTAGAAAAGATGTCTCTGTAAGTATTAAGGCTATTTAAATTTGAATGAAAGACCTTTTTTTTCAAATATAACGGAATTGCAATAGGAATCAGATAACAGAGAAATATTTGAAATTTAGGAATTTATATTTGCGAAATTTGCAAAAGTCCTCTACGCAAAGAGAAAAATTTATTACTCTGTATTATGATCATTTATACTCGTAAATTTTTCCGAGTTTAATCGCTTTGGATCAAATGGGCTGGCTGCATCTTTCGTGTTTTTTCTCTATAATTGAGCGCGAGTCAGTTTCATAATGCATCCTACTCAAATCTTTGTCATTGAGTGCTTTGTCTCAGAAAACAATCTAATTTTATTTCATTTTAAAGTTAGTTTTGTAGACTGAATTTTTTTGTTTTTATATCTTTAACCAAATCTATATGCTTTCTAAAAGTATTTTTTCCCGTTCATGACTGTCCACCTCCTTTTCCGGATCATGACTGAAAAGATTAATATCTTTTATCTGTGTAATATATTTATCTGTATCATTTTAAGTAACAGATAATGAAATTATTTTGCGCCTTTAGCACGAAGCGACACCACTTGAATTATTGTCTGCCTCCGAGTTTCTTTCATTAATGTGCCTTAAGGACTCTGACCAAAGAAAGAAACTAATTTCTATTCGTTAATACATTCCTGACATCGAAAAACAGCGGAAACGTGTTTCGAATAAAGGAATAAGTCATTGCTTGAAGGGGGAGGTGTACAGAAATCTCTACTCCAGCGGTTGTCTCGGTAGACAAGAATGCAGCATCATGGAACGCCAAGAGCTGCAGATCATGAGGTTGCCTGGTAACCGCCTTCTTCGCTACTGTCGCGCCCTCTGTGCGCTCTCCGTTGATCCAGTATTTTTGTGGCAGTCTCCAGTGGCCCCTATTTCTATTTTGATGTAGTAGAGAGAATCGGAAGATGAGAGTCACTATCAGCTAGTTGTCTGTAGGTAGGATTTTTTCTTCACATTTTCTCAGTGTGGACTAGTTGAATTAGCAAACGGCAGAGCTACGCGCGAGTATTTTGAAGAGGACTTTACCGAATATCATAAGATACGCAATGATGAAATTTCGATCGTTAGCTACATATCTTGTTTGTAAATATTGTCTTTTCATCCTGTCAGTGAACTGTGGTTAAAGACAATTTACTATCTTTTTCGTGAGAATTATATGAAAGAATTTCCTTTTCAGCTAAAACCTTTGAAAAAGCATTCAGCTTTCTTTAAAAACGTAAATTTATTGGAGGAATTATCTTATTTATAACGAAAAGTAATGAAAGGCTGATACCTCAAGTAAAATAAAATTTGTTTACTTACAGGACGGCGAAAAATCTTGCTTCTGGCATCTACAATATCTTCTTATATGTTTGAACTTAAGATGTGAAGTAGGTTTTTGAGTCACTTTTAATCGTCTGATTTTCACTGATGTTCTTCTGTTTTCCTCATGTAAGTTTACTAGCTTATAATCTATAATGAAATTTCCAAAACAAGTATCATATGACGCTAAGTTCTTGAACAACTCATCGAATTCATGATCTTTGAAGTTTATAAATGAATCACTGAACTTTTAGAATGCTGAAAATTTCTGAAATTAATGAATGAAGAACTTTAACATAGACATTAGAGGTAAAAACTAATATAATAATAACTGACTATTTATTTCCTTTTCGTTAAAAAAATAATATAATTAAGCAATGAATACTTCAAATATGAAAATAAAATTAAAGCATCTTATTGGCTAAATGAACATTTTTCATTCTGTAAATTAATTCTAAATATTATGCTTTATTCCCCTTTTAAGATGAATGTTAAATTAAAATAAAAGAAAACAATAATTAAGTCTGAGGTAGTAAAAATATAGAATTATTCGTAGCTACTAATTTTTGATGTTTGAATTAGGCCTAATAATGTGAAAGAATACACGAAATTTCAAAAATTCATCATTCGTTTTTCTTTCGAATTTAGAGAAATAATTCTTAAGATTTAAAATCGTTAAGTTTTGCACTGAATTTATATAAATAATAAGAGTTATAAAATTTAGAAAAGTATTTAAATTTTAGAAATTTTATTAAAAAGCAATAGAAGGAATGAATAGTAATAAAGATTTCTTATCTATGGATCTATTATGATTGGATATCATTGCTTTGAATAGATGGAACAAAGCAGAAAATATTAAAAGGTAAAATACATTATAGATAATTTGTAATGATTAAAAAATTAAAGCAATATTAAAAACATTTTAAAATGGCTGTTAAAACTTCAGAATGATATTTTTTATCTAGATTAAACATTCTGTGAGCAGCTTAATCCATAATTATAACGGTTCATTATTAGAATAATTGAAGAGAATCTTAAATACATTGTAGACAATTTAAAAGATTAAAATAAATTTTTTATATTTTACGAAGAATAAAGAATTAAAGAATCAAGTTTATATCAAATTTCCTGGAGTGAGACGGAATTTGTGCCAAATATATCATTGAAAAGTCGTCTGCTGTGATTAGAAATATTTCCGCTTTCATTAAAGATTTACATTAGGCAATAAGCTGATAAACGAATTCTAGAGCACAGATGCGTTTAATGGCGTGAGGTAATTGGACTGTATTGACAGGAATTTGAACTCAGACAGATTTCTTCAGGATATACTATGCCTATTGAAATAATAGTGATGTATCTGTTAATAAGTGAAAAGTGATGGAACTGCCGTGGAACTTTCTCTAACTTGAAACTAAGGGGGTCTCCCTTCGGAATATATAATTTATTTCTGTGTGAATTTCTTCATTTACGAAGAAGAAAAATGGATGGCAGATTATCACCTCAACAACGTGGTTCTCGTCATTCTCTAAACAAAGTGCACACTAGCCCAAGGACTTCTTTAACAATGTATGACAGACCTTTGAATTTAGAGAATCTGTGGGGCAAAGGAAAATTGGAAGAGAGGTAAGTGTCCTTTCTTCAATACTTTTAAACATTTTTTATTGTTCTTGTACTTGTGAAATGAAAATTCACACCAGATGATGGGATGATTTTTAATAAGCCTTAATACTTCTGGTTGCGTTTAAAATAACGAACACTAACTTCAGCGACATGAGATTTGAGCGTATTAAAAATGTAATGCTTTTTTAAATTTCCGTTTAATGGGGCATGTATTTTATATAATTGATGGAACATTTGTAGATAAGTTTATAAAAGCTTAAAATTATCATCCGAATACTTTTTCAGATTTATTATTAGCAGACAGATAACGAGTACATAGCAAATGTAAGGAATAGATATTAAGATGCATTATACTTAACATTATATAACGCCGACCCCATTTTCGATAGATATAACTGCCTGCCTTCCAAGCAAAAATTGCAATATAAAAATAAGCCAAAAAACACCTTAACAATGACATAGATTTCATATGAAATTTTATCGATTATGTCTGCGACGAATGAGAATCTTTCTTCATCACTTTAGACACTCAGCCAAACACTTCGAGTTAAACAGCAAAATTCTGTGCTCTATCAAAGCACAACAGTCGCTCTAAAACTCTAAAACAGGCTCCACAACAGTCGCTCTAAAAATAAACAGGGTTTTATATAAAATCTACGTCAGTCTGAGGCTAATCGATAGTTTATGATCATCGATAGAGTTTTATACAAAATCTACGTTAATCTGAAGACATTTATTTGCCTGTGTTTTATTTTATATTTATGTGTGTCTTTTTCATATACATAAATTACAGCGTAAACTTGTTCTTTACAATAACACATTGACTTCCCTTCCCGTTTTCAGACCCTCGAGGGCTTCAAACAGCCTTCTAAGGAAATGTTTGCTATTACTTGTTAAACGATTTATGATCTGTTAAACGATATTTGCTGTTATCTGTTAAACAATATATTGAATGATTTAAACGTTATTATCTACAACACGAAACATGGTTATAAGATTTTGAGTTGCTGTAAGGATTGATCACACTCAATAATGAGGCACTTTATCAAGTGTACAATTTTCATATTTTAAAATTTCAACTCCATAATTATAACAGTTCCAGATTCGTAAAAATTGAGCGTTTGGGATTATGGATCAGTTAGCATATCGATTCGAAGATAACACTGTTCTCTTCCGAGTTCAGTTTATTTTCAAACAGCCCACGCTACTGTATGCATTCTCTTCTTTATGAACTTAATGTTAGTTCTTTTAAGACATATGTGTCGAGGGAATATGTCATGGGTTGCGCTAAATTTAAGGAGCAAAAATATTCATCTCTACTCAAAATGTTATACACATTTAATCATGAAGAACAGTCGTTAAATTCTCTATTTCAGGCTTAAATTCTTGGAGATTTACAACTTTCTTATCAAAATGATTAAAATGCATATTAGTCGAATAAAGAAAACTGTAAAACTTTGCATTAAAGAACTCGAATCTTGTTCAGAAAATGAGAATTTAAAATTTACCTGATTTCTATTAATACTTGCTTGACCTTTAAATATTCTTTTAAATCACCCTGAAAGCTTTTAGTGGTGAAATTATATGCTCTAAACCCACTTTAAACAAATTTAATTTACACATCAATTTTAATTAATGATTTTGATTTGAATCCTATACTTTGCAAAATGTTGGTATGTTTTATTATAACGTTTTAACTTAACTGTTTAAAACTGTTACTTTTTAGCTCAAAAGAGCAATTCGCCCAAAAAGGCTGTTAATTTCCTTTTGGTATTTTGCGCTGGTTCACTATAAATTGTGTTTCACATTTGAAATCTTTGCCATCAAATATTGGAGCCCTGCATTATATTTACAAAATTAAATAATGAAGAATCTGCATAAATGTATATATGTTTCTCGCACTGTGAAAAAACATCGGTACCTAGAGACATTAAATTTTGAAAATCGTATTCCTTCACTCAAATAGAGGCATCTGGAAGCCCAAATTAGGAATTCTTTCTATTATCTATTTTTCATATTTTGTGAAACTTTAACGAATTTGTGATTAAGAAGTTCAACGATTTTAAAGCAAGCAATGGCAACACTGTACGAAAAAAACATTTTTATCTCGAACGCGTGAAACTGTGTAACGGAAATTCTAAAGATATGCTCTTTTTAAATTATTTTGTGATATTGCTGTTGAATGAATTTATGGTTAAGTGGGAAGAACATGATATTAATAATGAGGTAACACACAAAACGTTAAAAACGCTCTTTTACAAATACAAATCTGAAAAAATACAAATCTGAAAGATTTCAGATTTTTCTTATTTTTTTTTTCTATATTTTATTCGCTTATTTAGCTGATATATTCATGGTAAGATGTCGTAGAATGTTTTTGCTCTTTGAAAAAGAAGGACATATGTCAGATTCCTTCAAAATACATAGCTATGTATAGAATATATATAAAAGTAAATTAAATTTTGCAACTTAAATTCAAGTTTCTTGAACTTTTCATTTTTTTTAAAAAATTCTTTTCGGCATGCTACCTGGCCACTTCCGTGACCTTGTTTTTGATCACTTTTCTTTGACTGTATTCAAATTTTACCATACATTTTGCAATCAATAGAAGATTTAAAAGTATACTTCTGTGAACTAAAGAGAGAACATTTTTACATAAAGGGTTTGTTTGTTTTGTTTTAAAGGTTGCATCGTTGCGAATGTCAGCATTATTTTATAATATATAGAATATTAATATATTGATATTACTACGAAATCTAAATATCATGATATGCATCAACTTTTGCCTATTTGTCAGATAGCGAAACTCTTCCGCAGAGCAATTAAAAAAGGATTATTTCTGATCGTGGGGTATGTTTTGAGACATTAACAATATTTATCGAGAAGAACAAAGGGAAAGATTTTAAATTAAATGAAATAATTAAAGAAGTGGTATTAACGTGATAGATTTCTTTAAGAATTAATCAGTTTCATAAATTTAAAAAAAAAAAAATTGGTGAGACTATAGTTGGTAGTTATTAATCGAACTAAACGGTGTTTTTATAATATTGAGACAAGATGAAGATTTAGGAACATCTAGGAAGGTTCAAGAAGAACTAAGGTTTAACAACTGCTGAAAATTTTTTCTAAAAACTGTATTTTGAGTTTTATTTTATAATTTAAATTACTCTATTGCTGTAAAAATGTCCTAAAGAGTATCAAAGACAAAATAGTCGCACAGTTCGGGTAATGAGATCCGCCAGTACCTAGCACAGTTTGAAACCCTACTGATCAACGAATTAACTGAATATAAAAAAATGATAGTTGATTCCAAAAAAGTATTTTTTCTCCTCATTTTTCAGTAAATAAAAAGAGATTAATAAAATGAAATGCCTTTGTTAAAAATAATTTTTCAAAAATGCATTTTTTTGGTAATTCACTTTTATTTCCTAAAATTACAATATCGAAGTGTCTGTAGATTATATTTCGGATTTTTCGTTTCATTATCTCTTTTTTCTTGCAATAATTTAATTGTTTATTGCTTGGGGAACTATACGTCTAACATTAATATTGGAATCAACTTCATCCTCTGATTTGAAAAAGGTTTCAAACATAAGAGTAATTTTTTACAGTTGTCAGCTATTAATTCTTGCAGAAGCGTTTCACCAAAGCTGTTCACTTCTGCATGAGGGAAGTGCATTGCTTGGCTGTAGTGTGAATCTTCAGAAGAACCCTGATGACTGCTTTAGCCATGGATCTGTGTTATATCGAGTACATCATTATAGTATACTAAGTCATAACACATGTTCCTTATACTGGAAGAGAAGTAGCTCATTTAACTTACTAAATTACTCCTCACATTCACAATATAACTATTTTTATTCTTAACAAAAACAAGTTACAAGGATTCATGCGTCTCCAAGCGAACATGAGCGAGCGGAACTACACTGCTGAGATACAAGTATGGTTACAGATGCATTCATGTAGTTTCCTTACAGTTTATGTTACATGAAATAATACAGTTGAATAAACAGTTAGAAAGTAAATAATAGTTCAAAAGTCCAGTTACGGTGAAATCGCCACAATAAGTTTCCATGCTGCAGAATCAGAGTATAAGAAGTCACGGTTAGAACATAGGTACATAAATATACAGCGAGGAATCTCAGATAAATTGAAATAAGGTTCATTTGGTATAATTTGAAAACCTCGAATAATTAAACAAATAAATAAATAAAATGAATCGTACAGAAAAGATTAATAATTATATAAAGGAAAAGTAAGATCATAAGATAATATATACAAATGTATATACAAGTATGATCTTATAATCTTTCTTATATTATTATCATATAGTTAAATTGAAAAAAATTGCAAAAAGGCACTTTTTAGAGGAGGCATGCTTTGAATAATTTCAGTATAGGCAAGATCTAGATTGATATGACTCATGTAATAGCTTTCAGTGGTCCATGTTTTACGAATTATACCCAGAGCTAAGTAACCACTTCTTTTATGCTAGCTAGAATTAACACTAGTTTTCATTTTGCAATTTACTTTACATTCCCATTTGATTAAGTCCCTTTCACAATAGCCTTTCGGATGTGAACGTCTGAATCTATTTTAACGGATTAAAGAAATTCCTATCGTGTTGGAAATCTCTTTTATTGAGCAAAAGAGAAATTCGTCGGCTATGGCGATTTGTCAAATTAGTCTTTAATCTAGAATTTTTACCTTTTGTTTTTAGTGAAGATTGATTTACACAGTTTTTTAATACATGTAGAACTGTATTATTTTGAACTTCAAAACTTCTCCTATTTGTTTACGTTGTATCCATTTGCTAAAAGTAATAGTATATTTTCTCCGCATTAATTTTACTTCCTCTCCCTCTTTGAACTATTTCGGATTACGGGAAGAACATGAATGTCATCGCTGTGTAACGCAAAAGAACACACGTGTTATTATTTTAAAACGCAGACATAGTTAGATCAAATTTTTCATGACTTCAACCACACAACATATGAAATAAC